CACACATACACACACACACACACGCACACACACACCATGCATGACACACATACCCCACACATCCTTGCCTCTCTCTGACGTGTTTAGAGCAATCATGATGGACACGATCCCTGAGCCATTTGGAAGCACCTCAGACATACCTGGCAGAGCTGGTCCCTGCTCAGACCTGGGTCTTCCAGACACTCAGTATTGAAAGTGCAGGGCCGTGACAGGGGCTTCTCTGTTGAAATGGTTCTATACTCGGTTCTAACATACTTATGAATTTGACCTTCAAAATAGACACTGAGGCAATGCTCGGGCCACCACCCTGCAACATTTGGGGAGGGAAGCTGACATTATAAGCAGCTTTCTAAGAGACCCCTGGGTGCGTCTGGCTTTAGAATCATAGGCAGTGTTATGTGGAGAGAATGGAAAAATGCACTTTTTTGGAAAGCTACATTTTCTCTTTTCTAACTTTCTTGTCACCCCATAAAATAGGAACTGTGCCCTTGAAGGATGCCAGGAAAGCAGTGGCCATCCTCAGGAGGCAAGGAGGTGAAGAAGAAGGGGGCTGCTCCCCATATTCCCCACCCCTGACAACTCCTGTGAGGCACGGGCAACATCTCCCCTCCAGATCTCCAATCAGAGTGACCATAAGTGAAGTTGATACTTGTTCCCATCTGCTATGGGCTGAATCATGTGTCCCCAAATCCATGCGTTGCAGCCCTAACCCCATGTGACTGTGTTTGGAAATAGGACCTCTAAGGAGGTAATTAAGTCAAAATGAGGTCACTAGGTGGACCTTAATCCAGTATGACTCACGTCCTTATTAAATCAGGACACACACATGCACAGAGGGATGACCATGAGTGGACACAGGGAGAAGACGACCATCTGCAAGCCAGGGAGAAGGTCTCAGGAGAAATCAACTCTGCCCACACCTTGATCTTGGACTTCCGGCCTCCAGGACTGTGATATAATAAATTTCTGCCTGTAGTATTTGTCACAGCCTGAGCTGACTGTCCGATTCCTGGGTGCAAATGGCTCCCAAGCTCTCAGTTGTGACCAGACCCTGAGAAGCCCAACACACACACAGCTGATATTAGGCATTCCATTGGCCTGATTGACTCCATGGGGTCCACAGGCCGCTGTGGAGCTGATCAGTCCTGATTTCAGGGAAGCCGACAACTTCAGGAGCACTGTCTGAAGAGGGTGCCCGGGTGGAGAGCTCGTGTCTAGGAGGCTCAGAGGATACCCACCTCTATGCTCTGCTTGGGCTCCGAGGGGGCCTCAGGGCTGGAGCTTACAGGGACCGCCGGCTGAGTCGGGAAACAATCACGGCAGACTCGGCTCTGCCTGCCATTCTCAGCCTTGAACTCGGAGCATTTCCCACAGATGACCTGCCAGACAGAGGGGACCTGTGACTCTACCTCCCAGGGACAGAAGACTGTATTGGAAGAGGCTGGAAAAGCCACAGGGCCCGGAGAGACTTCACTGCAGGTGAAGGCAAAGGGTTTCTCTGCAGGCCATGGAGGCTGGAAACCTTGCTGGAGAGCAGAGACCCCAAGACTGGAGGGCCCAAGCTCTGGGGGTGTGCATGTACAGAAAGAAAACTGGGAGGAGGTACCAAGAACATGGATTGCTCAGGGCCAGCCTCCTCCTGCCCAGACTCACCGCCCCACACAGCTTGCAGTGGTGCTTCCTCTTGGTGATGGAGTTGAAGGTCTCACCGCAGCTCCTGCAACCCTGTTTTTCCTTGTCACGCTTCGTCTTAGAGGACCCTCTCCTGGGCTCAAGCTACAGGAGGCAAATGGCGACAGGCATGTGTGGAGGGGTGGCTGTGTAATACACAGGCAATGCACACGTAGGACAAAAACGCTGGACGTGGTCAAGGAAATGAAGCAGGATCCCTGTTGGCCACAGACTGCCCAGCCCTCCTTCTCAGATGCCATCCTGCTGTCACATGGAAGGAGATTCCAAGTGGATCCAGAACTCCATGTCTGTGATGATTGGCCCTGTGCTGAGGCCAGTGACTTAACCTAGCGCATCTGAGAAGATAGCAGCCAGAGTCCATGTTGTGGGAGACAGCGGCTGATCGGCACTGAGGCCTAAAATCAGGGACTGGAGTGTCTGCATCGAGCACCTGGCTGTGAGGCCCTCACTCTCACGCTTTGTTCATTGGGTCCTGGAGCTTGGCATTTGCTCCACACCAGACACTCAGGGGCATGCACTCAGTTCACCCTCATGTCTGTGAGAGCATGCTTCTGGAACTGAAGAGTGGACTTCCAACTGAGAGAATAAATATCTATGGTCTAAGTCCCCTTGTCTGTGGTATTCTGTTACAGCAGCCCAAGCTGACTAATACCAACATCTTGGCACAAATTCCAGCCTATACTTCCCAGTTGTGTGGTTTCCACTAACTGTCTGCCCCACCTCTGCTGGTGGGCCCCACCACTGTGAGGCCTGCACCAGCCTGGCATGAGAAGCCCAGAGGCTCGTTCCTCTGTGGGTGATGGGGATGATTGCTTTGCCCAAGGCCCCAGCTTCTTCTTTGTCTCATGACCCCCTTCCTCGTGGACATTGGATGTAAGACAGCCCTGGGGCCCCTCTCAGTTTATTCCATGGAGCTCAGGACTGTAGGGCCCTGCCAGGGGGAAAATAGGTGTCACAGAGAGGGTCACAGAGAGGGGAGGGGAGGGGCGCATGGCCCAGGGAGGGGAGGTTGAGGAGAGACAGTCCATCCAGGGGATCTGCCATGGCTAGGCAGCCCCCACCCTCCACCACAGGGTACCCTTGCTGTTCCTGTTATCCAGGTGAAGACTCTGAGGGCGCAGGAGGTGGGAGTGGTCAACAACAGGGTGGCTAGACCAGCTGTCTTGCCTGTGAACCCAGATATGCACCTTGGCCTAAGGGCAGAACCGAAGCTCTCAGGCCCCTGTTGGCTGTGTTGCACAGCTCCTGAGAACACAGGGAGGCTGTAGGGGCCAAAAAGGTGTCCCTGAGATATGGGGGACAGGGCTAACCCACGTGGGATGGTGGAGCCAGGGTGTGTGTCCAAGAGTGCGGCCTCTGACAGCCAGTGGGGAACCCATCCCGGCCAGAGGGATAGAGGGCAGTTCCCAAAGCAGAGCAGCTTGGAGGTGGAGTTTGGCAGAACATCCCACCCGGTTTCCTTTGCCGGGCAAGTCTTCCCATGGAAAATGGCAGTAGCTGAGCTAAGCCACGTGCTCAGACTGGAATCCTGACCCAATGCCAGCTTCCTTGGTGCTGAGCACCATGGCCACTGTTGCAGACCCTTGAGGCAATCCCTGAAGGCAGTTCCTGACACCAAGGTCCAGTGGGATTGGCAGATGGCAGATGACAAGGTGGCTAAGGGGCAGGGAGCCCACGTGTCTAAGGCACAGGTTTTCCTGGTTAACCACTGTTTCTTTTTGGATGAGGATATCTGACAGGACAACCAAAGGGAGACCCTCAGTTTTTCCGTTTGGATGTCAAGACACAGAAAGGCCTGGGCCACATCTTCCCAGGGAGGTGCAGCTCTGGCTTCCATGGTCACGGCCTATGAGTCCTCTTAAAGCATCCTGAAAAATGCCAGGGCAGACCTGGAAGGAAGTCACTGCTGGGCCCAGGGGCTGTTTCACTTAATAATTTCTCTTCAGCAAATTTGGTTACATAGCAGGGAAATAGGAGGAATGTTCAGTAAGAATTGGGTACAGCCAGCACTGAAGATAGAGTCACACAGTTATCCTCGGATTCTACGGGTGTGTTCTCAGGCCCAGCTCTCTGCCTCTGCAGGCAATTCTGTAAAGGAGCTCCAGTGGATGGGTGTGGGTGGAGGGCAGCACCAGCTTTGTGCACACCCAGGTTGTATAGGGTTTTGGAGTGGGAGTTTGCTCAGAACCAAGGAGGGGTCTCCTTGTCGCCATGGTGGGTCTGAGCCCAGAGAGGAAGGGTGGGTGCACTCTGATATTTCTATGCTTCTGTTAAGAGTGATGCGGCTAGAAGAATGGGAAGTCTATGGATTGTGCAAGCCCGCCTTGCAGAACTTCCTGGGTGTCGCTTAGCTTCTTTTAGGAGAGAGGGGCTTACAGGAACTGTGCATCTGAGGACACCAGGTAATCAGACCAGCACCCCACATATTTGCTTTTCCTCTTCAAATATGCTAAGAAAAATCTTACATCTGGCATATTGTAGCATAGATCACTCTTTTTGGTGTCAGAATTAAAACCTACTTTTGGGTGTCTTTCATGAATGTCCACTAGCACGACTAAGTCTTGCCATGCAAGACCAAAACTGGACATACACTGAGTTGCCCCAGGTCCACCAAAATCTCTGCTCACAGGAGACACCAATGAGAAAACCCAGCCAGGCCACATGTGCCAGGGCCTGGTCAGCGCATCTGTTGCTGTTTATTCGTCGTGGGGCCCAGCCTGACTTTGGGTGAGTAAAGGGTCAGGGACAAGAAGACCTGAAACTTGAGTTGTGATCCCAAGCATCCAGCAAGTCAGGGATGCCACAAAGCCTTTGGAAGGCTAAGCCCCAGTGCAGGAGAAGGTGGGGCAGCCTGTGTGTCCACTTGGACAAACATGGCCATCGCTGCCCAGCAGGTCTGCTGACTACAGCCTGGCCCAGGCAGACACCTAACCTCTCATCCATCAGAGGGGCACTGGTGTGACCAGCAGGTATCTAAATGTCTTCTCTCTCATGTCCCTGCCTAGGGGAAGGTGCAGTTGAGGGAGAAGATTTGTGGAGGCCCTCACTCCACAGGTCAAAACATTTAAAACGTGGCCTTCAGGTCCCTTCCAGCTAGAATGTGCTCTGAGGGGGTCCCCACCCACTCTACCAGCCCCACCTCCTGCTCCTCTCTCCCTGTCTTAGCGTCAGGTCCTCCCCAGCTTAGCCTTTCTGACATTGCAGCCCTCAGGTTCCACTTCCTTGCATCCAGGACTCAGGCCCATCTATAGCCACCTATGGACTTGACCCAGGGAGAGTGCACCTGACAGACAAAGAATGGGGTCACTTGGCCCTCAATGTCCCCCCAAGGGCCTGTCCTAGGCCGAGGGCTGTATGGTGGAGGACCCTGCATGAAATCCAGCCTGGCTCCCTAGCCAAGCTGTCTGGGATAGGAGGCAGCACTCCATGCAGGGGATTGTCAAAAATGTTTTCAGAGATGCCTGTGCTGGCAAGAGACAGAGGAGTATATTGGTGAGTACCTCATGCCCATGCAAATGAACTATGGAGGCCTCATCTGTCATTTGTTCAGGGCAGTTACATGCCTGACACTTGAGTGTACAAGCTGCTTTTCATGATGTTTCTAGCTATTCCAAAAAGGAGCCCAGCAGCACCTTCCCCACCTACACGGCCCCAGGCTGAGAAGAGAGCAGGCTCAGGGTAGGGGTTTGGGGTACAACCACTCTCCTGGACTCACCCACCCATGCCAGCAGTGAGACTCCCCCTTCCATTCTTCTGGGCCCAATGAACTGGTCAGATGCTGCCTCCAAGAAGCCTTCCCTAATATCATCCCTGCAGGCTCTTCTGGCAGCACCCCTGCCCACCTACCTGAACTCCTAGTTGACAGGGTTGACCTCCCTGGATGACTGAGCCTCCTAAGGCTGGACCACACCTTAATTCACATTCTATCCAGCACATTTCACATGAAGTGAAGAGCTCAGGTCTCCAGAAAAACTCAGCTGTGACCTCCACCCACCTGAGGTTATGGACATTTGTGTCCCAGTGGGCTCTTCCCAACCCTCTACTAACAGGCCTTAAGGTCATCATTGTGGGGACCTGGGTCACACACGTCACCCTTATCTGACCTTACCTTCCAGACCACCTTAGTCTGACCCAACCTTCTACCTCCCACCCCTCATAGTGGTCACTCACCCCTGCAGTACCCCCTCCACCATCGGCTGCCACTGCAGGCTCCTCAGAGCTGGCACTCACCATCTGAAAGGGACAGAGATAGCTGGCATGAGTGGAGATCTCATGGCCACATGCTCAAGTCCAGTGCAATACTGGTAACACCCCGGCCCTCTGTCTGACCACAGATTGGAGAAAGACTATCACACCATCTGCAGTGAGGCATCCCTGGTTCTAGTTCCTTCCTCAGATGTCCTTGTGGAAAGCTCCGTGCCTGCCCTCTACAAGCAGGCTTCAGTGTGCTGTACTGACTTTAATGGCACACTAATTGGGTGTTTTGTTTCCAGGTCACCTCCGTTCAAGGCAGGGGACAGTACTTTCCCTGCCCAGGAACAATGTACTTTTATTCCAAAATAGTCCAGAAAGGAAAAAAAAAATCAAGTAAATTTGATGCAAATAGTAAGTGAACAATGAGGTGGCCTGTGCGTCAAAGACCCAGTTAGGCTACAGGGAAGGCCAGCCAGGTTTGGGATCTGGGACTTGGGTTGCTGGGCCAGGCCAGGATGGGCATCCTTCAGCTTCAGGGACACCCCTGATGGGAAGCACGAAGAGAAAGAGCCTCACTCTGGTGCCTAGACAAGGGAAGTAGCCGAGGCCTCGAAAGGCTCCAGTGGGAAGGCTGCTGCCCTGACTCCTCCACTGCACCAGACCCCAGGTGTCTCCATATGGGGAAAAGCAAGCTGCCCCGCTGGTGAGATCACAGTGCCAAGCTTCACATGAAATGACGCCATGTCTCATGTGGCAGCTTCACCCAGGCCTATCCTTCCTTCCCATCTGCCTGTGTGCTGAGCACCCAGCCTCGAATCACAGTGGTCCCTATGCAGGCACTCAGTAGAGAGTGGGCAGTGAGTGTGCATCACCTGCCCATAAGCCCCCTGGTCCTGAGCATGAGGAGAGCTTGGAATGCAGGGGGCAACTTTTCTCCCAGACACCAGCCCTTGTGCAACAGGCCTGGGCTGCCTGCAATGGACACCTACTCCCTGCAGCCACAGCCCCTCCAGGTGAGCAGGCAGGAGATCCCTCTGTGGGTCTCAGGCCTGGATGGTCCCAGGTCTGGCTGTGATCCAGGCCTGCAGCTAGGAATAGGACCCTGGATTTAGAATGTGACATTATTGTAGTAGGGTGCCTGTGCCTAAAATATGTAAACATAACTCAGCTTATTGTATCACACATGTGTGGCTGAATGCCACTATTGTATTCTGCTATGTATGGAGCCATGTGGATCCCTGGAGAGCAGAAGGGGATCACAACAAGGGGAGCAGAAGAAGTGCATGCAAAACCACGTTCCCCTCAATAGAACTGCGCTTCCCAGTAGAACTGCATTTCAAGCAACAGAAGTGCGCTCAGCACAATAAAGTTGGTGTCTGCTGTTTCATTCCAATGTCTGCCTCTTGTGCATTCCTCCAACTGGGTGTCTCACTATCGAACCTTCTCTTCTCAATCAGCTTGGCACTGACACCCTCCCACAAACTCCAGGGGCTCTGGTGCTCACAGGGGGATCTGGAGTGAGGGAAGGGTCCTCATCCTGGCCCAAGGAGCTGCTGAAGGCCTTGAAGGTCTGGCTGTTCTGTTTGTGCTTCTCGATGGTGGCCTCAATGACCTGAAACCAGAACATAGAAAACAAGGGCCCTCAGCACACACGTGTAGAAGGGAGAGCATGGTGCCTCTGTCCCTGACGACGGAGTCCTGTAGTCACCATGTTTTCCCCTGACCAATGACCTCAAGTGTTATTAAAAGCCCTACTCTGAGATGAGGAAATGAGGCTCGGGAACATGACCAACTACCAACCAAGTCCCCACACCTCAGCTCAGGGGTCCCAGTACCACACTGCAAGGAGTCAGGTTCCCTCTCCAGGCCAAGGATGGACACTTTTTGAGAACATTTGATGTGGATTCGAGGCCGTGTTTCCAGCTACTGCATGAGCATTTCCATTTCATTTCTGTTTAAATTTCCTTTTTCCCTTTTTACCCAGATATCTGTTCTATAAATTTTGGAAGCCACAGTTCCTAACAGTGTTTGGCCTGGCTGTGGCCATGTTGGGCTTTGCTGTAGCTCTCTTGACCTTCGCCCTCATAGGCTTGTCTGTCTCCTGCATCCCCACCATGGCCGGTCCTGAGCTGAATTTGCTCTGGTTGCCCCAGGATGCTGCCTGCCTCCCCACCCAGCCTGTCCCTAGAAGCACAAACTCTATACTGAATCACACTGCTTTTCTTGTTTGACTTGTTGCTCTCGCCTGTTGTAGAGAGAGGGCAACGTGAGTTCCCTTTAGATCCACCAGACAGTGGAGATCCACCCCCTGGGATAAGAACATCTCCCTGCCTGCCACCTCCAGGAACTTTGTTTGTTTATTTACTGTGGAGCCAAACAAACAAATGAATTGAAAGGCTTATGGTGTCTGAAGGTGCTTATAAATGCAGTCATTACATTATTTCAAGGCAGACAGACAGGTAGGCAATGCCTGAGAGTTATTGAGCTAGCCAATCCCTTGCTTCAACAGGAATGGCCGTATTGCTCAAGAATATGGTCATTTGGTTACTTTAAAACTTTAGGAGCTTTACCTGAATCCACTCTTTCTTCTCCTCTTCTGTCCTATGAAAAACAGAAATAGTATTTTATTAATTCAGTCTTTGATACTGATTCCTTTTCGCCCTGCAGCACTTGCCTGAGCTGCTCACTGCCTCCAAGTGCAGCTCAAAGCTTGGAAGATTGGCCTCGAGGGCTCCAGAACACTGTGCCCAGGTGGGGTCAGGTGTGTCCAGGTGTGATCAGGTGTGGCCAGTAGTGTCTGGTGTATCCAGGTGAAGTCAAATGTTGCCATGTTGGCTCAGGCATAGCCAGATGAGGTCAGGTGTGGCCAGATGGAGTTAAGTGTGGTCACACAGGGTCAGGTGGGGTCAGGTGTGACCAGATGTGGCCAGGTATGGCTAGGTGTGAGCAGGTGTCATATGCAGAGCCAGGCCAATCTCAACCGCTCTGCAAAGATATCTGCGGCAGATGTAAATCAATGCCTCCTGGGACCACAATGCATCATTACAAAGGGCATTAGTGGAAGTGAGAGGAGTAATCTCCCACACACTGCCACCAGTCAGAGCACAAGCCTGGCATCACCTTATAGGTTAGTGCGACAATAGCTACCAAATTTTAAAGCAGATGTGCTACTCTATGGCTAGCAATTCTACTTCAGGAATCCATCTGACAGATATAATGACACATATGTGCAAAACCTGGCATGAGGATGCTGCTTGCAGCACCCTTTGCAACAGCAAGATGCTGGAGGAGCCTAGGTGCCTGTCAGTGAGAACTGGTCAACGATCATAAGGGAGAATTACAGTGCTTTAGGAAATGGTGCTCAGATATAAGATAATTTCTGATAAATTAAGTGAAAAAAGCAAAATGCAGAACAAGCTATACACGCTATACAAGCCATCTTGAGCACAGACATTCTGGAAGGGTGTTTAAAAGATGGTTAAGACTGTCCACTAGGGCAAGGAATAGGTGGGCAGAGGTTTAATTTTCATTGACTTCCCCTTAGTACTGTTACATTTTCAGTGACAAATAAGTGAATACAATGAATAAATAAAAACACATCTCTAGGTAACCCAGTTTGGAAAAAGAAGCCACCTGCTAAAATTTCATGTCAAAGGCACTCAATTCACACAGCAGCAGACACCGAGACAGCTGAGCCTACCGGGTTTGCAGCTCCAGGGACCTTTTCCTTCCCGTTATGATGAATGTGTGGGCTGCATGTGGCTTGACAATATCCTGTACCTAAAGGCAAATGAGCAAGAACAAAACAAAACAAAACAGCCGTTCGCTTAGCAGGGCCCAAACTTCAGCGTCATACTCTCAGACATGGAGGTCTTTTCTAGGAAAGGGGCATAGGAGACCCAGCGAGACTGCAGGGAGGGTGCCCGGTTCAAGGTCACAGTTGAAGGATGGCTTCTGCATGAGCAGGTCTGTGTGGGAGGGGGGACTGTTCTGCCAAATCCATCTAGGACCTCTCATCTGCCAAATCTGCCTGCCCCCTGGGATTCTTGGCGGTTGGCTGCCAGCCCCTGGACAACCTGAGCATTTCCCTACCAAGGCATCCACAGGCATGATGTCTGACAGAAGGATAGGAATCTTCAAAGAGCCAGTCCAATCTCAAGCACTCTGCACCTATGGGCAGATGTCTCAGATCTGCAGGTGTCTATTATGGGCAGCTGTCTCTCATCTCTCCAACGCCCCAGCCCTTGACTGGATATGGCCCTCAGGCCAGCCTCTGTCAGAATCAGGACCTGCAAGTTAAAGAGATAGGGCCCTGGCCTGCCCAGAATCTCTAGTGGGGCCTCAGAGCAAGAGTTTCCCAAACACACCAAGGCTAAGAACCTCTACTTTAACACATCCAGTTAATTACACAGACTGATTTTATTTTTACAGATAAACACTAAAAAAAAAAAAAAAGATTTCTCTCATCAATTGTTACTTTTAATGGTATTTCTTAAATTTAGATTCAGTGGATTTTAAGATAAGAAGGAATTTTTTTGGTATCACTAAAGCAAATCTTCACTTTTTAGAACTGATTAAATACTTTGATTTAGCCAGTATTTTTGGAGTGCCCGTTAATTCAGAGACTTCCCCCACAGGAGAGGGGAATGATTCCAGCTTCTGCAGCCCCCATGCCAGGAGACATTGATAGGCTCAGGGGACTGGGACAGCAAGGACAACGGGTCATCTGGATCTTGGGCACGGGCACCTATGTTCGGGCTCCAAGGTGGTGTGGGAGAGGAGAGAGTGTAGACAGAGATTAAGCATTCACCCCGAGCTTTGCCTTCAGGTCTAAATGAGGTCCTAAGCACTGATCTCACAGGGGATGGGTCAGCCCAGGTCCTGGTGTCATTTTTCATCCTGCGAGTACAGGGTTGACAGTGCCCCGGCAAAGGGGCCAAGTAGAGGGACAGGGGATCCGGTCCACATGGCCCAGGATACCAGGCCAAGGCACTCTCAAAGACAGTTTGGCCATGCCTGGGTCATTGACAGAACAGAGGCTCAGAGAAGCAGGCCAGTGGCCAGGTGCACAACAGTGAGTGCTTCAGGGGCTATAGCCTGTGTCCCCATCACTCTATACCCTCCCAGTGGATTGGAGAGAAAGGGAGATGCTCACCCACCTGGAGGTCTGAAATGTCCATCTTCTCCCGGACACTAAACTTCTGGCCCATGAGACGCAGTTTGGGCACACAGTAAAGGATCATGCTGTTGAACTGTAATAGAGACAGGCAGAGTGAGGGGCAGGGAGGCTGCCAGACAGGTGACTCTTGGCAGGGGTGGAGCTGGGTAGGCCTGAGTGTAGCCTGGTTGGGGGTTGGGAGGTGGGCTCACCAGGATAAGGTGGCGGTCCTGGGCCGTGCCATTCTTGGCCGACAGCTTCTGGATGTGACCCTCTTTGATCAGCTCATTGGCGGGGTTGACAATGTCCTCCTCCCCACCCAGTCGCTCGTATACCTCCAAGAGCTTGTGCATTTTCTCCTGCAAGAGACACAGGGCTCAGGCAGCTGCATGTCCACAAGGCCCAGAGGTCTACAGGGCTCCTGGGGACTCACAGGTGAGCAGATCCCCGCCATGCGAGTGTGGTCCAGAACCAAGATGGGGCAACAAGCCTGCTCATAAAGGGTAGGAGGGAAAACACAAGGGTGACACTCAAGTTGGGCACTGAGGGATGACTGGAAGTTTACCATGAAGAAACAATAAATAACAACAGCTAACAGTAACACTATGTGCCAGGCAGTGTTTCACACACAATGTAGGTATTAAACTCATTTAATTCTAGCACTGACCTTTTCAGATGGGTGCCATTATTATCCCCAATTTATAGACAAGGATACAGAGGCACAGAGAAGTCAAGTGAGTTGCTGGAGGTATTTTAGCTAGAGAACTGGGTCTGGCTCTCTCAGCCTCTGCACTGCACGCTAGCTTCTTCTCTGGGGTTTTTATGGGAGCCTTCAGGTAGACATGTTGGACAGGTTTTACTCCAGATGGTGCCCCCCTCCTCTAGTTGCTTTGCCCAGGTTCCTACTCTACCAGGCCCAACATGAGACCGGACTTATGCCAATCTGATCTGCAGTTTATCTCTCTCTGGCCTCACAACTGGTTGGGCGGTCACATGGAACCAGTGCT